TTGCCTCTAGTGGTGCCTGCGTGATGCAACTGCCGTGGCTTGTCTTCATACTGAAGCTGAGTGGCTTGTCGGGACAGCTGCAAAACATGTGATTTACGCTCCAGCCATTCGGATAGGTTATACATGTTGTATGTGTGACTGCTGCCGGAGCGTATGATGCCACGTGTGATACAATACTCAATAAAACTGTCCCGGTAGCTGGGAGGGAGTTTACTAAGTAGTCTGTCTACATGTGAACCACAATGGAGCTCACTCGCTGCTACCTCATCCATGGAACTGAGAAGGCCAACCAGGCTGGAGATAGATAGGGAAAAATCTTCAAAGGCTTTACTGTCACCGGCTTTAATAGGACAGCAGTTTAGTATAGCACTCAGTTCACTCTGGACTAATTGCCTCGGCTGCCCATACCTTTGCAGCAGCGCTCTCATCGCACTGCTGTAGGGGGTGTGGTCATGAATGTAGCGCCTGGCTACCTGCACAGCACAGGGATGCTCTAAATGATCTAGCAGAATGTGATATTTATACTCCTCTGTGAGATGAGTGTGTGGCCCCAGTAAACTGTCCAGTCCCTTCTTTAGCAGTGCAAAGTCACTCTCTCTGCCTGATTTGAATGTTACAAGCTTAGGTTTAGGGATGCCATATGAAGATGCCACTATCATCTCCATGAGGTTTGGTTGTGCCACTGCAACTGGGGGGATATGATGTGGAGCAGGCTGCTGAGGGTAATTAGAGACGTATGGATATGTAGCACCATGACTGGCTGCATTAGTGGGCGGAGCTACATTATGTATATAGGCCTCTCCCCCCTGCGGTGGATACGGGGGTGCAGACTGATGTTGGCTGTAGACTGCATGATTGTAGGGCTGTGCTGTGGACACTTGGTTAGAGCTAGATGGGGGTGGCTGAGGTTGGGCGCTCTGAATGTACAGAGGTTCTGCTCGATGTGGTTCGACTCTGTTCAGTGGTGATGATTGAACCATACGAAGGACAGGTTGAGCAGGATGAATAACGTCCCTTTGCGGAGCAGCTGAATTCACTGGAGGGGCTACAGACTGCAGGGCAGGTTCGAATGAAGGTCTCAATGTGGGCTGGAGCACGGAGAGGAAAGCACTCTGCTGTTGTGCATGTGGATCATATAGAGGTGCAGGATGCTTAATAACAGGACTTAAGCCAGGAAGAGACAAGTGTGGTGAAGGCGGGACAATATGATGGGTACTCAATGCAGCAGGTTCTACTGGCCTCAACTGGTTCACCGGAGTTATGTTGTCTTGTCTCATCAATGGAGGAACTGAAGCAGCTCTGGATGGTGCACTGGCCAAAGGGAGAGGACTAACGGAGTCACAATGTCGCTCTAGTTTATCCACCCGCCTGTTCAATGCACTGCTGGTTTCCCTCATGGTGACCTGCATCTCTTTCATTGTATTCAGCACTCGGTCCCACGCACACTCCATCTTCTCCCATCTATACCTGTTCTCTTGGTCTGATTCATCTGCATGCTGGTCAGAAGGTGACTCTGGATCGGGTAGATCATGTTCATAGTGCAACAGATGTCCGGGAAGCTTTCTGCTCCTGTGTGGACGGGCACTATGCATTGGACTCTCCCTGTGATGAGCCTCTTCTGTATGGATTGGAGATGCCATCTTGTTAACTCAGCCAATAGTCGATCCGGCTCGAAGGACCCTTTTGTGAAATACTGTGAGCGTTTGGATACGCTGATAACGGATACGACAGTCAGCTGAGTCTTCCTCGGTTAGAAGGAACAGGCAAACTCCAGGTGCACAGTTGTGATGTTTATTGATGGAAGAGCACAGGTATGTTGCAGGTGAAGATTTCTGTGTATAGGTGCGTATGTGTGTGTGGTCATGTTGTATAAACGCACACAGAACTTATATACACTGGATGGAGGACGGATGGCATGACACACTCGCACAGGCTCTGCTCCTAACACCGTACTGAATAGCTCTAAACTCGGCTACCGGAGAGGGCCCCTGGGGAACTACAATATTCACAAGTGCATCATGGGTAATGTAGTGAGGGACTTTTAACAAAAATAATATATAGTAATACATATACGTGTGAATCTGTTATATATATATATCTCGATGTATAATAATAATTTGAATATAATTGTATTTATATGTATATAGAAATAATAAGTAATATAATCACGAGTGGGCCTTGAACGTGCCGTGGCCACATGAGCGCTCCGCAAATGAATCAAGGCAATGGGACGTAGCTGAGCTCACGCGCAAATGAAGACGCGATGAAGTTAGCATTGGTAACACGGAGGTGAAAGTTTCTGGAAACTGCACGGAGCTTTTGAAAAGGAGAAGAGGAGGAAAATTGAATCTCGACCGGAGCAATAACAGCAGCAGATCCGGACTGGTAAGCTGGGCGCGTAATAGACTAAAGGTAATTAACGTTTACCAAACGCAATGCTATTTACTTAACGGAATGTACAAAACGGACTTTGCTGCGACTGGGAATGGGGACAAACATGTCTTGGTGAGCTTTTGATATCGTCTTGTTTGCGATCTTCTTGCAAAACTCAGCGTGATGTAAAAGAGCCAATCAACGAGTCATGGTGCGAAAAGATGAAAGTGGCCGGTGCTTGTGCGTACTTTGCCATAAAAAATTGCATATATGGGAGTAATGAGAAAAAAAGTTTTGATTCGCCACCAGCTCAAAACTGCGCACAAGGCAGCTGTTTGTGCACTTTCCCACACTTCATCTTTACCTGGTGCATCAGCAACAACTGACACTATAGGCTTGCTCTGGCGGACCGTGTCTGTGGCTTTATCGCAGAAAATAACGTTCAGAATATCACTACCGCTGGTAGATTTATTTAAATCATTTGCAGTTGATCGAAGTGCACTGTGCACTCAAACTTGATAGGGAAACCTTTTTCTTAAATATTGACGTGTCCACAAACAAATGTGGACAGAATTGTATCGTCCTTTTGCGATATTTTGACGAGGACAGAGCCAAAGTGTTGACGCTCCATATCGCCTCAAGTAAAGCTACTCTCACTAATATTCTGTCAAAAAGTTTACTCGTTGCTTGATCCACTTATATTTCATATCAAAATACACTGTATATCTTTGAAGAATTCATTTGAGCTGTATTCAATATACCAGTGTCTCCCAAAGTGGGTACTGCAGGGGGGCCGCGGGAGGTCATAAAAAAAATAAAAAAATAATATAATTATTTAATGTTAAATTTATAATGTTTTGTTTGTAATATTAACATATTTGTGTTCATTATTTGACTTGAATAATCCACTGTAATCATTTTTGTATTACAATGTTTGTAGCAGAGGCTATTTCCCCAAAATAAAATCCTAAAAGCCTATTCTTAATGTTGTCTTCTTGGTTATTATTTTGGGGGGCCACGCAGACCCGTCAGATTTTTAAGGGGGCCTCGGTGTTACTGAGTTTGGGAATGGCTGCAATATACAATCTATTATACAATAATATATTGTAATTAAAAATATAACTTGGTCTTGCATATTACTGTGATTTACATGTGATAAATTTCCATGCAAAAATTTTCAGTCAAATATATATTTTTTGCTTTAACCCCTGCTCTTGTCTCTCTCTGGTCTCTCTCTGGTCTCTCGCTGGTCTCTCTCTGGTCTCTTGTCTTTCTCTGGTCTTTCTCTGGTCTTTCTCTGGTCTCTCTCTCTGGTCTTTCTCTCTGGTCTCTCGCTGGTCTCTCTCTGGTCTCTCGCTGGTCTCTCGCTGGTCTCTCTCTTGTCTTTCTCTTGTCTTTCTCTGGTCTCTCTCTGGTCTTTCTCTGGTCTTTCTCTGGTCTCTCGCTGGTCTCTCGCTGGTCTCTCGCTGGTCTCTCGCTGGTCTCTCTCTGGTCTTTCTCTGGTCTCTCTCTTGTCTCTCTCTGGTCTTTCTCTGGTCTCTCGCTGGTCTCTCGCTGGTCTCTCGCTGGTCTCTCTCTGGTCTTTCTCTGGTCTTTCTCTGGTCTTTCTCTGGTCTCTCTCTGGTCTCTCTCTGGTCTCTCTCTTGTCTCTCTCTGGTCTTTCTCTGGTCTCTCGCTGGTCTCTCTCTGGTCTCTCTCTGGTCTCTCTCTGGTCTGTCGCTTGTCTCTCTCTGGTCTCTCTCTGGTCTCTCTCTGGTCTCTCTCTGGTCTCTCTCTGGTCTCTCGCTGGTCTCTCGCTGGTCTCTCGCTGGTCTCTCGCTGGTCTCTCGCTGGTCTCTCGCTGGTCTCTCGCTGGTCTCTCGCTGGTCTTTCTCTGGTCTTTCTCTGGTCTCTCTCTTGTCTCTCTCTGGTCTCTCTCTGGTCTCTCGCTGGTCTCTCTCTGGTCTCTGGTCTTTCTCTGGTCTTTCTCTGGTCTTTCTCTGGTCTCTCTCTCTGGTCTTTCTCTCTGGTCTCTCGCTGGTCTCTCTCTGGTCTCTTGTCTTTCTCTGGTCTTTCTCTGGTCTTTCTCTGGTCTCTCTCTCTGGTCTTTCTCTGGTCTCTCGCTGGTCTCTCGCTGGTCTCTCGCTGGTCTCTCGCTGGTCTCTCTCTGGTCTTTCTCTGGTCTCTCTCTTGTCTCTCTCTGGTCTTTCTCTGGTCTCTCGCTGGTCTCTCGCTGGTCTCTCGCTGGTCTCTCGCTGGTCTCTCTCTGGTCTTTCTCTGGTCTTTCTCTGGTCTTTCTCTGGTCTCTGGTCTCTCTCTTGTCTCTCTCTGGTCTTTCTCTGGTCTCTCGCTGGTCTCTCTCTTGTCTCTCTCTTGTCTCTCTCTGGTCTTTCTCTGGTCTTTCTCTGGTCTTTCGCTGGTCTCTCGCTGGTCTCTCGCTGGTCTCTCGCTGGTCTCTCGCTGGTCTCTCGCTGGTCTCTCTCGTCTCTCTCTCTCGTCTCTCTCTCGTCATCTCACTAAATTACATCCACTGGAATATGTTCATTATAATTGAACCAAAATGTATGAAAGATTGTTTTTTTCTTGAAATGTGGTAAATGTTGTGTGTCTTTGAACGATAGTTGTGTACAGTGTGTGTTTGTTTGCAGCACGCTTACGCCTTGGAGCTGCTCCATGATCAGCTTTACGACGGAGCCAAGGCCCTGGACGTGGGCTCTGGGAGTGGCATTTTATCAGTCTGCTTTGCACGAATGGTAAGCCTCCTCCTGACACATGGTCTTCACTGGTTCATTCTTTTCGGACCAGTCATGGGCGGCACGGTGGCTGAGTGGATAGCACTCTCGCCTCTCAGCAAGAAGGTCCTGGGTTCGAATCCCCCAGGGCCTTTCTGAGTGGAGTTTGCATGTTCTCCCCGTGTCTGCGTAGGTTTCCTCCGGGTACTCCGGTTTCCCCTACCACTAAAAATATGTCCAATAGTTCTGGCATGCGCCTCCTGTACTGGCCCCGCTCCCATCTCTGTGTGGGGTGAGAGACAAATGCCCATTAACAATTGTAAACCGCTTTGAGACTCAGATCTGCAGTGAAAAGGCGGTATATAAATAAAGATTACTTACTTACTATAGGTATGGACCAGAGAGAGAGAGCGAGGGACCAGAGAGAGAGAGAGAGCGAGGGACCAGAGAGAGAGAGAGAGCGAGGGACCAGAGAGAGAGAGAGAGAGCGAGGGGAACCAGAGTAAGAGAGACAGGAACCAGAGAGAGAGAGACAGGGACCAGAGAGAGAGAGAGAGACAGGAACCAAAGAGAGAGAGAGACAGGGACCAGAGAGAGAGAGAGAGACAGGAACCAAAGAGAGAGAGAGACAGGGACCAGAGAGAGAGACAGGGAGGGGGACCAGAGAGAGAGAGAGAGCGAGGGGGACCAGAGAGAGAGAGAGAGCGAGGGGGACCAGAGAGAGAGAGACAGGGAGGGGGACCAGAGAGAGAGAGAGAGAGAGAGACAGGGACCAGAGAGAGAGATACAGGGACCAGAGAGAGAGAGAGAGAGAGAGAGAGAGACAGACAGGGACCAGAGAGAGAGAGAGAGAGAGAGAGACGGGGACCAGAGAGAGACAGGGACCAGAGAGAGAGAGAGAGAGACGGGGACCAGAGAGAGAGACAGGGACCAGAGGGGTGCATCTTCTTTGTAGATTAAGTTATGCCTCATGTCAAATGTTATTTTTCCATTACACATTGAAAGTTCCTGTATTGACTGACACTTTAGTAAATGCTTTGACCTTGTGCACAGATACAGTTAGACAGTATGTCCTAAAACAATTGGATTTCACAACCTTTTCATAAAATTATGATCCATCTTCTAACACGAGTGGCCAGTGGGAGAAACTGCTTTTGCTGTTGGATCAAGTTCAATACCAACTGTTCCAATTTTGTAAGTGACTGTCTGTAAAACTGTGATTTTCTTTTTGCAGGTAGGTCCTAAAGGGAAAGTCATAGGCATCGATCACATTCAAGAACTCGTAGACGATTCAATAAAAAATGTAAAGAAAGACGACCCCAGTTTGTTAACGTCAGGAAGAATCAAGCTAATGGGTGAGTAAAACTATGTCTTCACCCTGTTCGAACACACATTTTGTATATTTGTTAGAAAAAACTCCCAATTTGACTGTTTTGGGCTGATGGGCTGAGTGAGGGTGGTCCTCTCTTGTTTCTCTGTGTTTCTGTTGATGTATGTGAGAAATCTTTGCGGGTTTGAAGTGAATGAGAAAGTAAATATGTGTCAGAATGTGCAATACAGAACCATGTGTCACCGTCACTGTGTCCCAGACCCAGAGGGGGAGAGAGGGAGAGGGGACAGAGGCCAGAGGGAGAGGGGACAGAGGCCAGAGGGAGAGGGGACAGAGGCCAGAGGGAGAGGGGACAGAGGCCAGAGGGAGAGGGGACAGAGGCCAGAGGGAGAGGGGACAGAGGCCAGAGGGAGAGGGGACAGAGGCCAGAGGGAGAGGGGACAGAGGCCAGAGGGAGAGGGGACAGAGGCCAGAGGGAGACCAGCTTCTTTATGATGGCAAAGCTCGAATTTTTTATATGATGTTATTTTAGTATAGAGTAATTGTTCCTCTTGTGCTGTGTGCTCCTCATTCCTTCTGTCCTGTAACTGACGATGCAACACTGACATTTCCCCGCTGTGGGACCATCTCAGTGTTAATACTCTGTGTTTGCAGTGGGAGACGGGCGGATGGGCTGTCCCGAGGAGGCTCCCTTTGATGCCATCCATGTCGGAGCAGCAGCCCCCAACGTTCCACAGGCGGTGAGTCCCATCTGCCCATTATCGTCATAGCAACGCTTAAACAAATGTGATCCAGAAACCATTAGGGTTGGAATGAAATCTGTGGACCGGGGTTGTCTGCAGTCCACACAAAAGGACGGTTTGATTGATTCTGATTATATATGTGAAGGAAAACATGTATTTGATATGTAAACAGAGATCAAGATGAGTTCCTGTATGGGTCCCACAGCGGGGAAATGTCAGGGTTGCATTACAAGTTAGAGAGTAGTAGGAATGAGGAGCACACGGCACAAGATGAGTCAATATTACGCAATGTGGTTTTATGATGTAATGTCACAGGTGAACAATTGTCTCACTCTCTCTGGTCTCTCTCTCTGGTATCTCTCTCTGGTCTCTCTCTCTCTGGTCTCTCTCTCTGGTCTCTCTCTCTGGTATCTCTCTCTGGTATCTCTCTCTGGTATCTCTCTCTGGTCCCTCTCTCTGGTCCCTCTCTCTGTTGTCTCTCTGGTATCTCTCTCTCTTGGTCTCTCTGGTCTCTCTCTCTCTTGGTCTCTCTGGTCTCTCTCTCTCTGTTGTCTCTCTGGTCTCTCTCTCTCTGTTCTCTCTCTCTGTTGTCTCTCTCTTGGTCTCTCTCTCTCTGGTCTCTCTCTTGGTCTCTCTCTCTCTGGTCTCTCTCTCTCTGGTCTCTCTCTCTCTTGGTCTCTCTCTCTCTGGTCTCTCTCTCTCTGTTGTCTCTCTGGTCTGTCTCTGGTCTGTCTCTCTGGTGTCTCTCGCTCTGGTCTTCCTTTCTCTGGTCTCTCTCTCTGGTCTCTCTCTCTGGTCTCTCTCTCTGGTCTCTCTCTCTGCTCCCTCTCTCTCTAGTCTCTCTCTGGTCTCTCTCTCTGTCTAGTCTCTCTGTCCCAAAATACTCTCCATGGCTGTGTTGTCTCATCTCTCTGACTCCTCTGCTCTGTTGCTGGCAGCTCCTGGACCAGTTGAAACCAGGTGGGCGGCTCATCCTGCCTGTGGGACCAGCGGGGGGGAACCAGATGCTGGAGCAGTACGACAAACTGGAGGACGGCAGCACCAAAATGAAGCCCTTGATGGGGGTGATTTATGTGCCTTTAACAGACAAAGACAAGCAGTGGTCCAGGTGGAAGTGACTCCTCTGTCTCCTCTCTCCTCTCCTTCTCGCGGGGTCAAAGGTGAAATGGTGTGGCATGGACCAGGCAAACCGAGGAGACACCAGCGGCCGCGTTCTGCTGCTAGTTTGCTTGTTTTTGCTTCTTCCATACCATACCGAGTAGCTGCACGTTTCTTTTATTCTTCATCCTAACTTGAAATAAACCAAACGTGCCTGCCTGAAACTAAACCCACATTTACATTTACAAAGCACGGGTTTTGGGTTGATTTGAAACTGGTCTCAGCGGGATTTATGGTTCAAGTCTGAGATCGCAGAGACTTTAAAATTATTACTACTTTATGAACAGTGGTTCCTCATTATAACACGGTTCACCTCTCTCTGGTCTCTCTCTTTAGTCTCTCTCTCTGGTCTCTCAATGGTCTCACTTTTGTCTCTCGCTTCAGTCTCATTCTCTGGGCTCTCTCTTTAGTCTCTCTCTGTCTCTCTCTGTCTCTCTCAGGTCTCTCCCTGGTATCTCCCTGGTATCTCTCTGCTCTCTCTCTGCTCTCTCTCTGGTAAACCCCTGGTCTCTCTCTGCTCTCTCTCTGGTAAACCCCTGGTCTCTCTCTGCTCTCTCTGGTAAACCCCTGGTCTCTCTCTGGTCTCTCTCTGGTCTCTCTCTGGTCTCTCTCTGCTCTCTCTCTGGTAAACCCCTGGTCTCTCTCTGCTCTCTCTGGTAAACCCCTGGTCTCTCTCTGGTCTCTCTCTGGTCTCTCTCTGGTCTTTCTCTGCTCTCTCTCTGCTCTCTCTCTGGTAACCCCCTGGTCTCTCTCTGGTCTCTCTCTGGTCTCTCTCTGGTCTCTCTCTGGTCTCTCTCTGGTCTCTCTCTGCTCTCTCTGGTAAACCCCTGGTCTCTCTCTGGTCTCTCTCTGCTCTCTCTCTGGTCTCTCTCTGGTAACCCCCTGGTCTCTCCCTGGTCTCTCTCTGCTCTCTCTCTGCTCTCTCTTTGTTCCCAACTCTAACCATAAGCACCGCCTGATTTGGATGATGCAAATGTTAAATTAACCCGTTATTATTTTTGCACGTGCAGTTGTTGCTTGATCTTCTTGTGCATGAATTTCTTGGAGCTTCTTCCGTTGTCGTTTTACAGACATCTGCTTTATTGGCTCAAGGGCATTCTGTAATCTCTGCTACAGCCCAGGATGCCCTTTGCCTCAATAAGAATGATTTTATTTATGATTTAAAATGGAGAACAGTCGGAATGAGCAGCACAAGATAATGAACCATTCTATTTAACACATTCTGACTTTTGCACAGACTCATGGTAAAAAACAATGTACTTTTGTATCAAATGTGCAGCCGTCAGAAGCTCCTTAAAGCACTTCTGTAAACTCCATCTCTCTCTCTCTCTCTCTGTGAACATTTGAACCTAGCACATTATTGTTCTGTGTTTTTGTTAAAGGGATGAACTTTGAAGATTCCCGCGGCTCCAGTTTGAAGTCGGAGAAATCCAAGGGACGAGAGAAACCTCACTTTTGTTCAAACCATCGTTAAAAACCACATCTTTTAGTTCAACCCTGGACTCACCCAGAACCACAGTCTTCACACCGACCTTTCCGGACAATGCGGCAGCAAAGAGAGACTACTTTGAGCTCCACGTAGCACGACAGGAGTTTTGTTTTTAAGTTTGTATCTTTGTGTTCTTGAGCTGCTGGACTCGGGTTTGTGGACGTTGGCAGTATTACATTTGAGACGTTTGACTTTCTTATGGAATCGCTTGAAACGTGAAATAAATACTTACACTTTGGTCCTAACGCAACTTGGAAAATGTATTGTTTCTGGTTTTGTTTTGGTTCGAGCTCTCGGACAAGTCTGCATTTAGAGTTTTAGATTTTCATATGTGCATCCGGGTTAAACAGGACGCAGGTGTATCGTGTCCTATTGATACTTTACTATAGGTACTTCACTAACTGTACTGTAGGTACTTCACTAACTGTACTGTAGGTACTTTACTAACTGCACTGTAGGTACTTTACTAACTGCACTGTAGGTACTTTACTAACTATACTGTAGGTACTTCACTAACTGTACTGTAGGTACTTTACTAACTGCACTGTAGGTACTTTACTAACTGCACTGTAGGTACTTTACTAACTATACTGTAGGTACTTCACTAACTGTACTGTAGGTACTTTACTAACTGCACTGTAGGTACTTTACTAACTATACTGTAGGTACTTCACTAACTGTACTGTAGGTACTTTACTAACTGCACTGTAGGTACTTTACTAACTGCACTGTAGGTACTTTACTAACTATACTGTAGGTACTTCACTAACTGTACTGTAGGTACTTTACTAACTGCACTGTAGGTACTTTACTAACTATACTGTAGGTACTTTACTAACTGCACTGTAGGTACTTTACTAACTGCACTGTAGGTACTTTACTAACTATAGGTACTTTATTAACAATAGTAACTATAGGTACTTTAGTAACTATAGGTACTTTAGTAACTATAGGTACTTTAGTAACTATAGGTACTTTAGTAACTATAGGTACTTTAGTAACTATAGGTACTTTAGTAACTATAGGTACTTTAGTAACGATAGTAACTATAGGTACTTTACTAACGATAGTAGCTATAGGTACTTTAGCAACTATACTGTAGGTACTTTAACTATACTGTACGTACTTTAGTTATACTGTAGGTACTTTACTAACTATAGGTACTTTACTAACTATAGGTACTTTACTAACTATAGGTACTTTACTAACTATAGGTACTTTACTAACTATAGGTACTTTACTAACTATAGGTACTTTACTAACTATAGGTACTTTACTAACTATAGGTACTTTACTAACTATAGGTACTTTACTAACTATAGGTACTTTACTAACAATAGTAACTATAGGTACTTTAGCAACTATACTATAGGTACTTTAGTAACTATAGGTACTTTAGTAACTATAGGTACTACAGACTGACCTGAACACCTGTGGCTTATATTCAAGTGAGGCCTATATGTGAACCATATATGTAGGTGGAGCACGTATTAATCCTGCCGATACTGAACTCTCTGTGGATTAACCAACATTTGAATTGACAAAGTTAGGTACCCCAGCTTTAGTTGGTCTAAACCTGGGTGCAACACTCACCTCTGTATGAAACGAGTCTTCCACTTCATCAAAGCTGCATGTGATACTTTGTTTCACTCAAGTCGGTTAACACTAAACTCCCAGAAGTCTGAAAGTACTAGAACCCATTCAGAGAAACGCCCCCAGCAGTAAAAATGACTGCTCTGGGAGATCTAGAACATGACAAGGAAAAAACATGGACACAAACGAAAAGCCGTCAAATTGACTGCTCTGGGAGTTTCTGGTGTTTAAAGCAAATGTACCAGATATGACACTGTGTACTTTCAATACTTTCAATACTATAATTACAGGTTTGACTGGGAAAGGAACTGAACTAGACATCTTCTGAATATTGTATCACGTTTACTCAGCACCAGTTTGTTACTCTCTTATTTTGGGAGAGAAACCGCTCAAAAGCACATGTGAGTCGTCGGGGAGAGAGCGGGAGACGTTTGACTTTCTTATGGAATCGCTCGAAACATGAAATAAATACTTACACTTTGGTCCAAACGCAATTATTCCTCATGTTGAATGTTTGGGTTTGTGGTTTTGTCACTTTAAAACCACCTTGGACTGTATTTCAGTATCGTCTGGAGTAAGACCTGTCGGATCAGGGTCTAGGTCTAGGTCTAGGTCTAGGTCTGAGGTTCACAGTTTATTTCTAAAACTGAAGAAAAACAATCAAGATTATTTTATATTATTTTATTTTTTCAGACACAGAAGAAAGCCCTGTTTCCACCATGCCCTACTTGACCCATACTCATCTCTACTCCTTTACATTTTGCTTTAGTATCTGGTTCTTCATCCTACCTAACAAAACGGTATCAACCAGGGGAAATTCCTTGACAACCATGGCTTCTAGCAGCACTATGATCAGTTTCAACACCTTAGTACCAACTCGGGCAGAAGTAGAGAGGAGAAAGGCCAAGTAGGGCTGGTGGAAACAGGACTTTTGAGGGAAAAATTACGTAGAATTTGCAAAAAAATTAAGCTTGACGTGAATATACCTTCAGGCACTTCAAACAGCGCTAGTGCCACCTACTGGTAGAAATATATACTGATTGGATCCAAAACACACAATTTTTCTCCAGCGATAAAGTATTCAGTAAAGAAAATAGAATTGTCGTACATATCTGGAGACAAAAAGTAGAGGTAGCACACGGACATAAGGACACCTGAATGTCTTATACATTAGAAGAACAAGCAACGATTCTATAATGACAATAGAATAGGCATCGGGGCAATTCATACAGTTTACATTCCCCAAATTAAGTGCCGTGTCATGCCATGTGTTGTTTGTGGTGATTCAAAAAGCTCCCTCAGACGAACATAAGATTAAAGCTGGGGTCCCTAACTTTTTCATGAATGCAGCACTTGAAGCCACTGGTTTTCATGTTGTAATAACTTGCAAACATTAGCTAGCATTCGTTAGCTTTTTTGATATTAAGCCTGTAACCTGTGGCTACTAAACCTGGATGGAGTCAAAGTAATAAGTCCATAAACGTTGTTCTGACTACAGCCCTAATCACGTTTAAAAAAACAACTAGTTCTAGTACTTTGCATCTCGTTGTGCCGTCTCTCTGCTGTTCACATAAACATAAAATACAGATGATAGAGCGGTGTCCAAATTCATTCTGTCAATATCTTCATGTATGCGTTGTAATGGTGGTCTTCTCTGGTCTCTCATGGTCTCTCTGGTGTCTTTCTGGTGTCTTTCTGGTCTCTTTCAGATGTCTCGGACCTCCTGGTCTCATTCAGATCTCTGGTCTCTTTCAGGTCTCTCTGGTCTCTCTCTGGTCTCATTCAGATCTCTCTGGTCTCCCTCTGGTCTCTTTCAGGTCTCTCTGGTCTCCCTCTGGTCTCTTTCAGGTCTCTCTGGTCTCTCTCTGGTCTCTTTCAGGTCTCATTCAGATCTCTCTGGTCTCTCTCTGGTCTCATTCAGATCTCTCTGGTCTCTTTCAGGTCTCTTTCAGGTCTCTCTGGTCTCTCTCTGGTCTCATTCAGATCTCTCTGGTCTCTCTCTGGTCTCTTTCAGGTCTCTCTGGTCTCTCTCTGGTCTCTTTCAGGTCTCTCTGGTCTCTTTCAGATGTCTCGGTCCTTCTGGTCTTTTTCAGGTCTCTCTGGTCTCTCTTTCTGGTCTCTGGTCCCTCTCTGGTCTCTCTCTGTTGTAACCGTTGCATACTTGTGAGCTGATTGGCTGAGTGAGGGTGGTCCTCTGTCACTTTTCTGTCTGAAATATCTGTGAAAACTGTTCTGAGAGCGGTTCACTTTCAGATGGATTTCTTGCCATATCTCATTTGTTGTGGTTTGAAAGTTAGGTACCCGAGCTTTACCACCGCTCGTGAAGACACAATGACATGGACACTGTAATTACATTAAAGGCAGCATTTGGGAAGCATTCACACCAGCGTCACCATGTCCCAGCAGGAGAAGACCAGAGAGAGACCAGAGAGAGAGAGACCAGAGAGAGACCAGAGAGGGAGACCAGAGAGAGACCAGAGAGAGAGACCAGAGAGAGACCATAGAGAGACCAGAGAGACACCAGAGAGAGAGACCAGAGAGACACCAGAGAGACCAGAGAGAGACCAGAGGGAGACCAGAGAGAGAGACCAGAGAGAGACCAGAGAGGGACCAGAGAGAGAGAGACCAGAGAGAGAGACCAGAGAGAGACCAGAGAGAGACCAGAGAGAGAGACCAGAGAGAGAGACCAGAGAGAGACCAGAGAGAGACCAGAGAGAGAGACCAGAGAGAGACCAGAGAGAGACCAGAGAGAGACCAGAGAGAGAGACCAGAGAGAGACCAGAGAGAGAGACCAGAGAGAGACCAGAGAGAGAGACCAGAGAGAGACCATAGAGAGACCAGAGAGACACCAGAGAGAGAGACCAGAGAGAGACCAGAGAGAGACCAGAGAGAGAGACCAGAGAGAGACCAGAGAGAGACCAGAGAGAGACCAGAGAGAGACCAGAGAGAGAGACCAGAGAGAGACCAGAGAGAGACCAGAGAGAGACCAGAGAGAGACCAGAGAGAGAGACCAGAGAGAGACCAGAGAGAGACCAGAGAGAGACCAGAGAGAGAGACCAGAGAGAGACCAGAGAGAGAGACCAGAGAGAGACCAGAGAGAGAGACCAGAAAGAGACAATAAGAGAGAGACCAGAGAGAGACCAGAGACAAACGAGCAGGGACCTGTGCTAAAGCTGGAAGTGAGGCCCAGTGGTACAGGAGTAAAGGGAGAGCTACAGGAGAGCTACAGGAGAGCTACAGGTACATGCCGTTGATGAGGTAATCAGACTCCTCGGTGGTCAGGGGCCGCGCCTTCTTCAGTTTGCGTTGGACCAGTTTGAGCCGACAGCCGATGATCAGGACGAGCAGAGCCGTGATGAGGATCCCGAGGACCAGAGGGAGGATAGCTCCTGAACACACCAGAACGACAGTTACTACTACTACTACTACTACTGCTGCTGCTGCTGCTGCTGCTGCTGCTGCTGCTGCTACTACTACTACTACTGCTACTACTACTGCTACTGCTACTACTGTTACTACTACTACTGCTACTACTACTACTGTTACTACTACTACTACTACTGTTACTACTACTACTACTACTGTTACTGCTACTGCTGCTACTACTACTGCTACTGTGCTGCTGCTGCTGCTGCTGCTGCTACTACTACTACTACTACTACTACTACTACTGCTACTACTACTACTACTGTTACTGCTACTACTACTACTACTGTTACTGCTACTACTACTACTACTGTTACTACTACTACTACTACTACTACTGTTACTGCTACTGCTGCTACTACTACTACTGCTACTGCTGCTGCTGCTGCTGCTGCTACTGTTACTGCTACTACTACTACTACTACTACTACTGCTACTACTGTTACTGCTACTACTACTACTACTACTGTTACTACTACTACTACTACTACTACTACTACTGCTACTACTACTACTGTTACTGCTACTACTACTACTACTGTTACTGCTACTACTGCTACTACTGTTACTGCTACTACTACTACTACTGTTACTACTACTACTACTACTACTACTGTTACTGCTACTGCTGCTACTACTACTACTGCTACTGCTGCTGCTGCTGCTGCTGCTACTGTTACTGCTACTACTACTACTACTACTACTACTACTACTACTACTACTACTACTACTACTACTGTTACTACTACTACTGCTACTACTACTACTACTACTGTTACTACTACTACTACTGCTACTACTACTACTACTACTGTTACTACTACTACTACTGTTACTGCTACTACTACTACTACTACTGTTACTGCTACTACTACTACTACTACTGTTACTGCTACTACTACTACTACTACTACTGTTACTACTACTACTACTACTACTGCTACTGCTGCTGCTGCTGCTGCTGCTGCTGCTGCTGCTGCTGCTGCTGCTACTACTACTACTACTACTACTACTACTACTACTGCTACTACTGTTACTGCTACTGCTTCTACTACTACTACTGCTACTGCTGCTGCTGCTGCTGCTGCTGCTGCTGCTGCTGCTGCTGCTGCTACTACTACTACTACTACTACTACTGCTACTACTGTTACTACTACTACTGCTACTACTACTACTACTACTGTTACTGCTACTACTACTACTACTACTGTTACTACTACTACTACTACTGTTACTACTACTACTACTACTGTTACTACTACTACTACTACTACTACTACTGTTACTGCTACTGCTGCTACTACTACTACTGCTACTACTACTGCTACTGTGCTGCTGCTGCTGCTGCTACTTTTTTTTTTTGTTTTTTTTTTTTTTTAAATCCTAGCCCGGAGTTATCGAGTGAGAAAAAAAGTTATGCCTCACGGTTGACCCTGGCCTGGTCTTATTGCCAGAGAATCCCGCCTCGCTTCCCTGTGCAGGTGGACTTACAGGTGCGAGCTCCTGGGGAGGTGACCCAGGGGGAGGGGAGCGACCCGGGGGGAGGCCCGGGTACTGCAGGACTTGGCCTCTTTAAAAGTGGCCTCACCTGCTAAAAAAAACTCACTGAGCTCCTTGGAATGGGCTTAGGGATGTGCCTACAGTGCTTCAAGAAATGTGGTCCAGTTTTCCTTCGTCAGATCTACCAGGTCGATTTGTGACATATTTTGGGCTTTTGCATCTTCTTCGATTTGTCTTATCCATTGTTTCCTTTGTCCACCTTCTTGTTTTTTCCCTTTTGGCTTCCAGTCAAGAATGATTTTTTGTATTCTTGAGTCTTCCATTGTTCGTATTCTTTGCCAGAATTTCATTCTTCTTTTTGCAATAATACTCAGGATTTTAGAGCATTTGCATTTTAGTCTCAGCTCTTCAGATGTAATGTGAGCGCTGGTGTGAATACCAGTTATCCTTTTCAGCATTCGGTTTTGAAATGCTTCAAGCCTCAGCTTACTGTCCTTCTTAATGACCCATGTCTCTGATCCATACAGCAGGACGCTCAGCACCAAGGACTGGTACAGAGACACTTTTGTGTCTAGTTTGTACTCTGAGGAGCTCCAGATCATTGTAAGTTCTGCTGCTCTTCTACCAGTCTGCAATCTTCTGCTTTATTTCTATTTGGTGGTCACCATCGCCTTTTATAATTTGACCCAAATATTTGAATTCTTCCACAATGTCATAGTTTTTTATTGTTTCTGAACTCTCTGTGTCCCACACTAATGGAGCACTATGTGTTTTTTTCCTGCTCCCTCTTTGGTTACGATTGCTTCTTTTGACCCTTCCAGCAGTGCACCATCTTGATTTGTGAGTTTTTAGGCCCAGATCAGTATCAAAGGATCTCTGACACTGGTCACACCGGAAGAGAGGGTCATGTTCTTTCCTTGTTTGTGCTTCCACTGTCTTCTTACACCACCTAGTCTGATGTAATACTAGTCCGCGTGATGTAGAAAAGATTTTTTTGCAGGAATTACAAATGTATTCATCAGCTTTTCCAGATGCATCCTCTGAGGTTCCTTTTGCGGTTCCTTCGGTGGTTCCTTCGGTGGTTCCTTGTACGGTTCCTTTTGTGGTTCCTTCAGTGGTTCCTTCGGTGGTTTCTTTGATGGTTCCTTCCGTAGCCTTATTCCTGCAGAAGCGGGCCTCATGCACAGCTTTGCCTCGTTTGTTTTTAAATTTTGCACCACAGAATTTGCAGCAGTTTTCATCCTTTGAGTCGTCCTCATTGGTGAATATAGACATTGTGCCAGTGGCACCAGTAGTCCCAAATTTCATGATTTTTGTTTTGCTGTCATTGATTTGTAAACCAACAAGTTCAGCAGTTTCTTTTAGGGAGCGCACAACAAGTTCTAAATCATCTGTTGATCGCGCTACAATTGCAATATCATCAGCAAATTCCATGTCACTTATAACAGCAGCTATAACTTATAGCTGCTGCTACTACTACTACTACTACTACTACTACTACTACTACTACTACTACTACTACTGTTACTACTACTACTACTACTGCTACTACTACTACTACTGTTACTACTACTACTACTACTACTACTACTACTGCTACTACTACTACTACTGTTACTGCTACACACTGATTTTAGGAAGTCATAAGATTTTGAACTTATGAACGGTGAGTAAGTATGTCAGTGTGAACGTACTTTCGATCAGTGGCTTGTGTGAAAGACTTGCCTGATTCTGGAGCAGGGTGACCTCCTTTGGTGAGAGAGGGTTTAGAGATGTCCTCCTCACTGTGGGTTTGACTTTGGGACACTTTGGGAGCGGCTGATAGACACACACACACACACACACACACACACACACACACACACACACACACACACACACACACACACACACACACACACACCAGACACACACACACACAATATATATGTAGTTATAGTTACATAGTGCTGTGGAAAAGTAATTGTAGTTTGATCAATCATTTACCTATTTCTGTCTGTTTGGTCACTGTTGGAGCCACTGTTGCAGATTTAAAAGACGGAGCTGAAAAACACAGTGCATTAGTCACGTTTCCACCACAGGAACTTCGAGGTAATTTTTCAAGGCCAGCCGCGTTGGTGCGTGTCCCCCACTGCAGGACCCTCCCCACAGGGACATACAGAAACTTTACGGGCCGAATGGAGCGCCTCCTCCAGAGTAGGTACTGAGTTTATGGTTGGGCCCTGAACAGCTCCTGGTTTGTGGACTTGTGGTAAAGCCAATCAGAAAGCACCAACAACCAGCATTTAAAAAATCCATCAGCATTAGTATTGTTGCTGATTATTACTATTGTTAGCTTTTTTGAATGATCAATTTAATTGTTTATTTTTTACTGCTATTGGACACCGGAATTTCTCCGACGGGGATTAATAAAGTATCTATCTTTCTATCTAGCCTAGCAGCATTAGCCCATCTGTATTAGCCTATAAGCATTAGCCTAGCACACAATCCGAGGATGATCTGCTGCAGGCCTTGATGGCCTTCTACAGCACCAAATAAAATCAGACGGGGTTTGAGGCATCGCAGTGAAATGAAAAAATACATCAAAACAAATCAGCTTCACCTCGACGCACTGGGGATTCATCACACGCCCAAACAATGCCAAGAAAAGTAACAAAAACAAAAAACTGAAGCAGGGCTATAAAAAATTCAATAATGATAACGTCTCTATCACAGTCTGCATCAGACTTACATTTCTGGATGCACTCTGAGACACAGTCCAACTCCTGCAGGAAGTTGTTGTGGTTGCCCTGACAACCTCCATACAGGAAGTGCTTACACTGTCCCGCCTCCTGGTCGTAGTACCAGCGAGGGAAGGTGCCTTTGCACGGCCCCACCACAGGAGCCGAGGAGCACGGATCTGAAATCACATGAGAGTAATAGATTACAATTACATTGTACACTGGTCCGTGGTTTATCGCGGGAGTGATGTGTTCTAAAACTGACCCACAATAAGGTACATCCTTTCAGTAGCAGTAGTTTTAAGGATGAAAAACCCCCTCATCAGGTCTCTCTCATCATCAAGAGAGGCCAGAGAGAGAGAGAGAGCAGAAAGAGAGACTAGTGAGAGGTCAGAGACAGACCAGAAAGAGGGACTAGTGAGAGGTCAGAGAGAGACCAGAGTGAGAGACCAGAGAAAAAGACCGGAGAGAGACCAGAGAGAGACCAGAGAGAAAGACCAGAGAGAAAGACCGGAGAGAGACCAGAGTGAGAGACCAGAGAGAGAGACCAGAGTGAGAGACCAAAGAGAAAGACCGGAGAGAGACCAGAGTGAGAGACCAGAGAGAGAGACCAGAGTGAGAGACCAGAGAGAAAGACCGGAGAGAGACCAGAGTGAGAGACCAGAGAGAGAGACCAGAGTGAGAGACCAAAGAGAGACCCGAGAGAGATCCGAGAGAGACCAGAGTGAGAGACCAGAGAGAAAGACCGGAGAGAGACCAGAGTGAGAGACCAGAGTGAGAGACCAGAGAGAGAGCAGAGAGAGAGAGAGCAGAGAGAGAGACCAGAGAGAGAGCAGAGAGAGAGAGCAGAGAGAGAGACCAGAGTGAGAGACCAGAGAGAGTCCAGAGAGAGACCAGAGAGAGAGACCAGAGAGAGTCCAGAGAGAGAGAGCAGAGAGAGAGAGCAGAGAGAGAGAGCAGAGAGAGAGAGAGCAGAGAGAGACCAGAGAGAGAGACCAGAGAGAGAGCAGAGAGAGAGCAGAGAGAGAGAGCAGAGAGAGAGACCAGAGAGAGACCAGAGAGAGAGACCAGAGAGAGAGCAGAGAGAGAGAGAGCAGAGAGAGAGACCAGAGAGAGAGCAGAGAGAGAGACCAGAGAGAGAGCAGAGAGAGAGACCAGAGGGAGAGCAGAGAGAGAGAGCAGAGAGAGAGAGCAGAGAGAGCAGAGAGAGCAGAGAGAGCAGAGAGAGAGAGCAGAGAGAGCAGAGAGAGAGAGCAGAGAGAGAGAGAGCAGAGAGGAGCAGGACTGAGGACTATGGGACGACCGTGGCATTTCTGAGCATTTCATCCGTTTCCTTCGGGCCATGACAGGGACTGATCTGTCGCTGAGACGGTTGGAAAAGTAAGCTGGAGTTTTTCGTACATAAGTCGTACAATAATGTTTCAAATGTTAAGTCTGACTCTGTTTTGGAGCCACACTGCTGTAAACTGGAGTCAGTCAAAGTGTTCTTTGACTTTGGGAAAGGTCTTTTCTCTCGGTGCAGATCAGGATCAGGTGGCAGCGACCACAGGAGCCCTTTGTCCAACGCTCTCTCCTTTTCCCATGAAACACAAGCACCTTTATACACACACATACTACACACACACACACACACAAACGACACAGACACACACACACACACACACACACACACACATACTACACACACACACACACACACACACACACACACACACACACACTACACACACACACACACACACATACACGTTTTTGTTACCTGGTGGGTCCCTTTGACAGGGCCGTTCAGAATGGGACCCATAGACATAATCTTTTACTGGGACTACTTTAAGTAATACAAAACAGTCAATAGAAACCAAACAACTATTTTAAAGGAATTTTATTTTAGATTTTGTTTTCGAATTGCAGTGATTCTATTTTTGACATAGAATTTAATGCCACTCCATGTCCGATGTCTAAGGTCATCTGGTGAGGCATTAATGCAGGCCAGGCCAGGCCAGGCCAGGCAGTGAGACTTCCCAGGGACCTTTCCAGTCTGTATGAAAGGTGTCATGGTCTTCTCCACAGCCTTCACCTCAGATGCAGACCATGGCTTTCTTACACGTTCTAGGGAGAGAAATAAAAATATATTAGCAATATACACTCCCAGGGTGAGGACCAAGCAGCCTGGCTGTAATCCCCCACCTGGTACACTTACCAGAAGGGGCACTGCCACTACCATGGGGTGCATCTGGATGAATGGTTGAAGGTTCTCCGCTTGAAGTTTCTTTTAGCCCGTCCGTTTGTGAGAGGATCTCTACTGCTCTCCCTGTCGCACAGAAAATAAAAATACAAGTGGCCTTTAGGGGAAAAAAATCATACATATTTTAATAATATCAAGAATTACCTTCAGGCTCAATTTGTATCTGGTCGAGGCTCTTTCCTTCGAATTCCGTCACTCTTCCCTGCTCCATGGCCATCAACACTTTGCTGATTTTGGCCAGCTCCAGTGTCCCCTCTGGTAGTCTGTAATATTGCCTGTGGATGCGAATGTCATGGCCGAGGAAGTTGGCAAGTATGTCCATCTCATTCTCTTTCATATTGAGAACTGTAGACATAGTAGCTATGTGCTTTCTAAGTTTGGTTGAGGATAGCATCTCTGGATGCACCGCACCACATTCTTTGGCTACCTGGCGTAGGGAGTCTGATCCCCTGATGTGGGTGTCTGCGCCCGGGCGGGAAAAGAAGTATGGGTTATGGTCAGAGATGGAACAGGCCCTTCTGTTCTCCACCAGCACCTCCATCGAAGCAATCATTTCAGGAGTCAAAAGAACCGGCACTTTCCGACTTCTTTTCCCTTTAATTTCAATGCGTTGAAAATGCTGACACAGCTTTTTCTGAAGTTCGGACAGTCCCAGAGCAATGTCAGAATGGATCCCAGTCTTACTTCTTAAGGTAAACGCTGTCAGTGGCATCTTTGAAACCTCACCTTCCCTTCTTCGATTGAAAATAATGACCTCACAAAGAGTCAAAACTGCCAGTTTAGACCAATGCTTAGACGTTGGCTCACTTATTAGGGTTTGCACATATTCAGGTCGACATACCTCAATATGTGCATGCATGGCTCTAACGTCCTCAGTCAGAGGGAGCAGGTCCGGAGTGTTCCACTTGGCTTGCCGGAGGGTCTGTAGGGCAGCAGAAGAAACACAGACGTCCCACCTCTTCTCAAAAAGCAGCCGGCTTCGTTGGGGGTTTTTAATAAATAGTTCATCAACACAATGCTCCATTTTTGAGTCACATTCAAGAATATCTGCTAGCTTTCTGAGGCTATGGCCGAGTTTGAGGGCCAAGGATGGAGTCTTGTATTGATTTGTTTCCTCATCATATCCAGCCACAGACCTGACTGCATCAATCACATGGTTAAAGTTGGAAGGAATAAAGAAATCCTTAATTGTTTTCAGTTTCCCTGCGGTTTTTGCTTCGTTAATTAACCTACCGACTTCTCTCATTTTCTGCCTAATGTAATCATGCTTAGTCTTATCATGCCCGTGTTTTAAGTACAGGTGCTCTCCGAGTCTCAGAATCCCCTTTTCTGCTTTGACAACACCCGTGACCTCATCCTGATGCATTGCCGAAATTAAAGACCACAGCTTTTTGCTGATGCCCTCCGGTACAGGCTGGGCTAGGGAGCAGAGGGACTGGACCCTACTTCTACCTGGTTTAGCCTGGGCATCTTTCTGTGAAAGCCGGCACCTGGCCACATGCCTCCACAGCGACTTTCGCTTAAGCAATGCCCCACAGTCTATACAGTGCAAAAACTCACTGGATTTAACTGGGCAATTTGGCTGTTTAGCTGGGACTAAAGTTCCAATGCCGGCCTTTAAAACCTCAAAATTGTGCTCACGGTTTCCACTATTCCTGATCAAATCAAACTGAAGTTTACGTGCTTTAGATTTCACAGGTAGAGCCAATGCTCTGGCTACGTCACTTTCATTTCCATGTTTTCTAGTCAAATGACGGGACATTTTGTGGCAGGACATTGAACAGTAGAGGCAGAAGTGTCTCTTGCTGTAAACTCGCCCCCCATTTTTCTTCTTTTGCAGCTGCATGATAACAATCTTATTTGCCTTTGGTTCGTCACTTTCCGAGTCTTGAAGAAAAGTGTTTTTGATTTTTCTTTTTCCATACTTTTTTACAGGTTTCTTCTTGACAGTTAAATCGTCAGAATCTGAGTCGACTTCATCAATTAGGGACTCTTGACTAAGCTGCACAAACAACAAATAATTTGTAATCATTCTATATAACAATTTGAAGTCATGACTTGTAGTCAGCACTTACCAGTGGTTTGTAAGCGTGCGCTTCAGTGTGCTCCTCCATGATTTCTTGCAGCCTAATGAACCACACACTTGCACCTTTTTCTAGCCTGACACCTGATTTCCTCTGTTGTGCTGCTCCATGATTGGCTCCAGCCTGCTGGACTGAAATTGCCCCAGTGTGCCCCTCCTTGATATCCCGCAACCCACCACCAGGGTTCCGACACATAACACACTTTTTTCAGGAAAGTAAACCTCCAAGGGTCCTTTCCATATTTTTACAGAGACTGCATAAGGACCGTTAGAAAAGCATTACCCATTGATTATTAAGCTTGGACCAGTGGGGTCCGGTGTTCGGGCCCCACCACGTAAAACCAGTCCCCATGACGTGAGCGGAATCTCAGGTTATGGAACCCACCAGGAGTTGAAAACAAGTGCACATACTACACACACACACACACATACTACACACACACACACACACTACACACACATACACATAGACACACACTGCATGTTGTTCAGGGAAGTAAAGGAAAGAACTTCCAGCTCTGAAACATCTGAACTTCTCTTTAATTTTAGATGTGACACTTCTCTGTCTGTTGTTATTGATAACTCCCATGAGCAGATTGTCGGGGAGAGCAAGTATCTGGGTTTGACTCTCTCTCTGGTCCCTCTCTGGTCCCTCACTCTGGTCTCTGTCTGGTCTCTGTCTGGTCTGTCTCTAGTCTTTCTTGTAACTCTCTGTCTCTAGTCTCTCTGGTCTCTCTCTGGTCTCTCTTTCTAGTCTCTCTCTAGTCTCTCTCTAGTCTCTCCCTGGTCTCTCTCTGGTCTCTCTCTGGTCTCTCCCTGGTCTCTCCCTGGTCTCTCCCTGGTCTCTCCCTGGTCTCTCCCTGGTCTCTCTCTGGTCTCTCTCTGGTCTCTCTTTCTAGTCTCTCTCTGGTCTCTCTCTGGTCTCTCTCTAGTCTCTCTCTAGTCCCTCTCTAGTCTCTCTCCCTGGTCTCTCCCTGGTCTCTCCCTGGTCTCTCTCTGGTCTCTCTCTCTGGTCTCTCTTTCTAGTCTCTCTCTGGTCTCTCCCTGGTCTCTCTCTGGTCTCTCTCTAGTCTCTCTCTGGTCTCTCCCTGGTCTCTCCCTGGTCTCTCCCTGGTCTCTCTCTAGTCTCTCTCTAGTCTCTCTCTGGTCTCTCCCTGGTCTCTCCCTGGTCTCTCTCTAGTCTCTCTCTCTGGTCTCTCTGTGATAAACCATAGACTATTGTATATATATTTACTTATTTGAATCAATGTTTGTAAAACAATAACATGGACATAACAAAGTGAATTCTGTAAAACTTCTCATCTGAACCTGGATTAGGAGCTGTGTACTGCTGGTCCTCTTCTGGTGCCGGGACAATGCTTCCTGGTGTTTTCCTGCGTCCCGTCTGCTCCTCTGTGTCTGTGTGGGACCCGGCCTGTGGACTGGACGGGTCCATGGAGTGGGTCACCGACTTTCTGCTGCCTTCAACTGTGCACAAAGAATCATCAGTGACCCCGAGTCTCACAGCATTCGTCCTCCACCGACCAATCACAGATCAGGAGTTTTCTAAAGGTTACCCCTACAGAATTTGGTCTCTTTCTCTCTCTCTCTCTCTTGCCTTCAACTGACTCTTGCTGGTCTCTCTCTGGTCTCTCCCTGGTCTCTCTCTAGTCCCTCTGTCTGGTCTCTCTCTGGTCTCTCTCTGGTCTCTCTCTGGTCTCTCTCTCTGGTCTCCTTCTTTGGTCTGTCTCTCTCTTGTCCCTGGCTCGCTGAGGACTGGTGTGACTCCCCTGGTCCTAACCATAAAGCCAAATCTAAAACGTCCTCACAGTTGGGACAGAAGTCTTCGTCGGAGCGGTCGGGACAGTGTTGTTTCCCGTCACAGGCGTAAGTGATGTCGATGCAGCAGCCGTCGTCACATTTGAACTGGTATTTAGAGCAGTGGCCTGTACACACTGGTCACACACAAACGCACAAACACACAAACATTATTCGTACAGCACAGAAGCCAGCGCAGAGACCTGAGGACTGGACTAATGTGATGGTACTTCCTGTTCGAGTTATGTCTGTCACATAGTAGCAGTGTAATGTTGTGATGGGATTGGATAAGAGGAGTCATGTGAGGCTGACGTGAGACGAGATCATAGACTGCATATACATGGAGATGGATGCTAACACGCTAGCTCAATGATCTCTCTCTGGTCTCTGCCTGGTCTCTCTCTCTAGTCTCTCTCTGGTCTCTCTCCCTAGTCTCTCTCTCTGGCTTCTCTCTGGTCAGTCTCTCTTTTTTCTCTCTCTAATCTCTCTCTAATCTCTCTCTGGTCTCTCTCTGGTCTCTCTCTGGTCTCTCTCTGGTCTCTCTCTGGTCTCTCTCTCTGGTCTCTCTCTGGTCTCTCTCTGGTCTCTCTCTGGTCTCTCTCTGGTCTCTCTCTGGTCTCTCTCTGGTCTCTCTCTGGTCTCTCTCTGGTCAGTCTCTCTTTTTTCTCTCTCTAATCTCTCTCTGGTCTCTCTCTGATCTCTCTCTGGTCTCTCTCTGGTCTCTCTCTGGTCTCTCTCTGGTCAGTCTCTCTTTTTTCTCTCTCTAATCTCTCTCTGGTTTCTCTCTAGTTTATCTAATCTCTCTCTTGTCTCTCTGCTCTTTCTGGTCTCTCTCTCTAGTCTCTCTCTTTTTTCTCTCTCTAATCTCTCTCTGGTCTCTCTGCTCTTTCTGGTCTCTCTCCAGTCTCTCTCTCTAGTCTCTCTCTGTTCAGTCTCTCTCTTTTCTCTCTCTAATCTCTCTCTGGTTTCTCTCTAGTTTATCTAATCTCTCTCTTGTCTCTCTGCTCTTTCTGGTCTCTCTCTCTAGTCTCTCTCTTTTTTCTCTCTCTAATCTCTCTCTGGTCTCTCTGCTCTTTCTGGTCTCTCTCCATTCTCTCTCTCTAGTCTCTCTCTCTAGTCTCTCTCTGTTCAGTCTCTCTCTTTTCTCTCTCTAATCTCTCTCTGGTCTCTCTCTAGTCTCTCTCTGGTCTCTCTCTGGTCTCTCCCTAGTCTCTCTCTCTGGCTTCTCTCTGGTCAGTCTCTCTCTTTTCTCTCTCTGGTCTCTCTCTAGTTTCTCTAATCTCTCTCTGGTCTCTCTCTCTATTCTCTCTTTGGTCTCTCTCTTTGGTCTCTCTCTATTCTCTCTCTGTTCTCTCTCTAGTCTCTCTCTGGTCTCTCTGCGATAAACCAGAGACTATTGTACTCTCTCTTTGGTCTCTCTCTTTGGTCTCTCTCTGGTCTGTCATGTGAGGCTGAGATGAGAGGAGATCATAGACTGCATATAGCTGGATGCTAACACTCTAGCTCAATGAAGCCCAAGAGGGAAGTGCTCATGGATGAAGTAGCAACACGTCTGCTTCTGTCATAGTGCAATGCTAACGCTGCAGAAGAAATGCCCATATAAGGTAATTAGCTCCAGGATACGCTCAGTCCAGACCTGGTTTAGGGACTACAGATGGAACCAATCATCATTCATACAGTGAGCGTACCTTCAGCCTGGCGTTTAGGAGCCAGCACCGACACGGACACGTTATCGGAGCTCTTCTGCCCCGCGCTGTCGGTCACCGTCATTTGGAACGTGTAGACGCCGACCTGGAGCCCGCTGACCTTCAACAGGCCCGGGTGGGTCACCTGTAACAGCCACCACATTCAGTTCAAGTAAATGTATTTGTGTAAAGTCCTCAATCCCGACAGCAGTTTGACTCCGAGGGCTTTACGAAGGTGTTGAAATGCAGTAATAACAAACATACATCCAGGGTCAGCATCAAACTTATTATTAATTCATGTCAAGTATTTAGGTATAGTGCTTCTTTGTTATTATTATTATTATTTACTCAGCTCGGCCACAGAACCTTAGCCCCGCCTACGTAGTCAGGCTGAGAGTCCATGAACCAATTACAACATCCATTCATTTTGATTGAGTGAGAGATAGATAGATAGATTAATTGATAGATAGATAGATACTTTTTTGATCCCCCATAGGAGAAATTCAGGTGTCATTAGCAGAAAACACATCCATATAAACCCATAGGTACATCATTTATAAACATGTGTCATCTGTGTTCATGTGACATCACCACATTCCAAAGACCTTATAGTAAAAACTGTGGTGGAGGGCGGCGGATACGTCTTTCCC